AGAAACTTAGTTTAACAATTAAAAAAACTTAATATTCAGTGAAACATGATTTTTTTCATTGAGGGCATTAACCCTGTAGCCAGGGAAGGCTTTAACCCATCAAATAAAAATGAGGTTTGAAAAAGAAAAAAAAAGAATAAAAAAAAAAAAAATGAGGTTTGTCAGGGAGCCAGGAAAATCCAAGCGGCCATCTTGGATTTCCCATAGCCCTGACTGATTTACAGCTTTTGTTCACCCATTTTTAATTCCCTGATTTAGGAGTAGACTGTTGCCATGTTTTAAGAACATCAGAATAGCAAAATTCTAACCGTGAGGGCTTATTTTTTATAGAAGCAGAATGAGCTTTGTCTACATGTACTATAATCTTAAATAATGTTTATTTGCTTTACCAAAGTAATGGAAGATTTTTAAAATGAATATAAATCCCTTAAAGGCAAAGAAATTCATAATCTGTTATCGAAAGCTCCACTCTAAGAAAACTTTGTTCTCTTAACAGAGAGAGTAGACTAAATTCCAGTCTGTTACCAGTTTGCCAGATAACAAACAAACAAAATTTGGTTATTGGTTAATCTTAGAAAAGTCTTTTCCATAAATCTTGAAGTAGCAGTATTCTTGCAAAGGCATCAGAGTGAAACCATAGAAGGCATGTTTAAAATCTGATTAAATTGCAATTGACAAAGTAACCTGGTCATTGCTGTGACTTGTAACACTTTAACATGATAGCTAGAATTATAACTGACAACATTATACCAGGACATATCAAATTTTCATGAATTCCACATAATTTTAGGATATGTATATTAGTAACATCAACCATAACAGTGTAACTTGAGAAGATTTATCACCCCTTCAACAGTACTTCCCATATAATTTAACATGTCCAGTGAACCCAGGTAGTTTAATACCTCTTTGGGATGTCCCAGGGGCCCTCTGAGGCATCCCAAAGTTAGCTAGAAGTCAAGTTATTTAGAAGTTTTTCTGATAAACACCAAAAGGGTTTATAACATTCAGTCAGATAGAATCATATAGATCACTGTGAAACAATATATTCACTTAGCCAAAGTAGCAAAGAAGATTTCAAAGGTAAACATAGAACAGATCACTTCAGAGGTGAAGAAACTTAAAATCCATTATCAAAGGCATTTCAACATCTCAAGAAAACTTGCATTTATGCACAAAACTCTTCCCTTGATGTTCACTTTCTATAAAACCTTCTTATCACTTTTTATACCCATTACTTTGTTCTCCCATCCTGAAACAGCCACCTGTAAGTTAGACCTACTTCCTTTTCCCTTCATAAAATGTAATTTCATTCCTCATACATTCTTTACTGAAAACACACTTCCTACTTTCCTTTAGCAACCAAGAACTGACATTTATATTAGCATTCTATAGATTGGTGAACATAAATACCCGTGATAATTTCCAAAAAAACACATCTGCTTTCTTATAGAGAATATCTCAGGATGGCACCAAACACTGTTCATTAACAGTCCAAAATCTTTAAGGGTGTTTGCTATGACTAGTGCATTCTCTTGGCAGAACTCTATTAGCCTTTTCCCTGCTTCATTCTGTACTCCAAGACCAAATTTGCCAAATTTGTTACTCCAGGTGTTTCCTGACTTCCTACTTTTGCATTCCAGTCCCCTATAATGAAAAGGACATCTTTTTTGGGTGTTAATCCTAGAAGGTCTTGTAGGGCTTCATAGAACTGTTCAACTTCAGCTTCTTCCGCATTAGTGGCCAGGGCATAGACTTGGATTAACTTGATACTGAATGGTTTGCCTTGGAAACGAACAGAGATCATTCTGTCGTTTTTGAGACTGCATCCAAGTACTGCATTTTGGACTCTTTTGTTGACTATGATGGCTACTCCATTTCTTCTAAGGGATTCTTGCCCACAGTAATAGATATAATGGTCATCAAGAAAATTAGAGATACCAAGGGAACATTTCATGCAAAGATGGGCACAATAAAGGATAGAAACGGTATGGCCCTAAAAGAAGCAGAAGATATTAAGAAGAGGTGGCAAGAATACACAGAACAACTATACAAAAAAGATCTCCATGACCCAGATAATCACGATGGTATGATCACTGACCTAGAGCCAGACATCCTCGAATGCAAAGTCAAGTGGGCCTTAGGAAGCATAACTATGAACAAAACTAGTGGAGGTGATGGAATTCCAGTTGAGCTATTTCAAATCCTAAAAGATGATGCTGTGAAAGTGCTATGCCAGCAAATTTGGAAACCTCAGCAGTGGCCACAGGACTGGAAAAGGTCTGTTTTCATTCCAATCCCAATGAAAGGCAATGCCAAAGAATGCTCAAACTATCGCACAATTGCACTCATCTCACACGCTAGTAAAGTAGGGCTCAAAATTTTCCAAGCCAGGCTTCAACAGTATGTGAACTGTGAAATTCCAGATGTTCAATCTGGATTTAGAAAAGGCAGAGGAACCAAAGATCAAATTGCCAACATCCATTGTATCATAGAAAAAGCAAGAGAAAAAAAAAAAGAAAAAGAGAGTTCCAGAAAAACATCTACTTCTGCTTCATTGACTATGCCAAAGCCTTTGACTGTGTGGATCACAACAAACTGTGGAAAATTCTGAAAGAGATGGGAATACCAGACCACCTGATCTGCCTCTTGAGAAATTGTATGCAGGTCAGGAAGCAACAGTTAGAAATGGACATGGAACAACAGACTGGTTCCAAATAGGGAAAGGAGTATGTTAAGGCTGTATATTGTCAGCCTGCTTATTTAACTTTTATGCAGAGTACATTAGGAGAAACGCTGGGCTGGATGAAGAACAAGCTGGAATCAAAATTGAGGGGAGAAATATCAATAACCTCAGATATGCAGATGATACCCTTCTTATGGCAGAAAGTGAAGAACTAAAGAGCCTCTTGATGAAAGTGAAAGAGGAGAGTGAAACAGTTGGCTTAAAGCTCAACTTAAAGATCAAGGCATTTGGTCCCATCAGTTCAGTCAGTCAGTTCAGTCGCTCAGTCATGTCCGACTCTTTGCAACCCCATGAATTGCAGCACGCCAGGCCTCTCTGTCCATCACCAATAGATGGGAAAACAGTGACAGACTTTATTTTGGGGGGCTCCAAAATCACTGCACATGGTGACTGCAGCCATGAAATTAAAAGATGCTTGCTCCTTTGAAGAAAAGTTATGACCAACCTAGACAGCATATTACAAAGCAGAGACATTACTTTGCCAACAAAGATCCATCTAGTCAAAGCTATGGTTTTTCCAGTGGTCATGTATGGACGTGAGAGTTGGACCATAAAGAAGGCTGAGTGCCAAAGAATTGATGGTTTTGAACTGTGGTGTTGGAGAAGACTCTTGAGAGTCCCTTGGACTGCAAGGAGATCCAACCAGTCTATCCTAAAGGAAATCAGTCCTGAATATTCATTGGAGGACTGATGTTGAAGCTGAAACTCCAATACTTTGGCCACCTGATTCGAAGAGCTGACTCATTTGAAAAGACCCTGGTGCTGGGAAAGATTGAGGGCAGGAGGAGAAGGGGATGACAGGATGAGATGGTTGGGTGGCATCACCGACTCAATGAACATGGGTTTGGATGGACTCTGGGAGCTGGTGATGGACAGGGAGGCCTGGCATGCTGCGGTTCATGGGGTCTCAAAGAGTCGGACACGACTGAGCGACTGAACTCAACTGAACTGAACCCTGAATACAGGATTCAAACTTACAACCTGCCCCTCTACTTTACTGTAAATACCTATAGTATTTTACTTTAAATACCCATAGTATTTGTCTAGTATATTATACAATTTGCAGATTCACCATATCACTTCTCTATGTCGCTCCCCACCATCCCCTGACAGGGAAGCCTGGCATGCTTCAGTCCAAGGGGTCACAAAGAGCCCCACACGACTTACTGACTGAACAACAAAAACCTTCCCCCATTCTACCATAAGAGCTCCACTAAATCAGGGGTTTTTATCTGTCTTTCTAAGCCATGCATCACAATCTGAAAAGGTATTGGCACTGGCACTAGGTGCACAGCAAATATTTGTGGAGGAAGTGAATTTTTAAAAATATAGCATGATTCCAATTTTACTTTCTTATTTTAAAGCATAAACATGTATACACACGTGTAGAGGGAGGGAGAAGAAAAACAGTCAAAATGTTAATGGTGATTTTAAGTGATATTTTCCCTTCTTCATGTTTTCCCGTGGTTTTATTCCCCAAACTCGATGTGAAAATGTATTATCTCATCATAAGAAAACTGCTTTTTAAAACGTCTCTTCTAAATCTCGGGTGACATACATTGCCACGCACAGCGAATTGTGCCTACTGCAAGTTGCACGAAGCCATTTTTCTGTAATCAACAATTCAGATGGCATTGATGGTCTTTAAATAAATTACAGGTTTAAGCAATCGCCCAGTATTTTGTCGTGGTTAAACATTTCTTAAAGGAATAAGAAACCTTGCTCCGGCGGGCGACCGCGTTATCCCTGGGGAACACACCCACCTAGCAACCGGGAGTGGAGCTGAAGCCTGGCACTGCGCCTTTAATTCCCGGGTTGGGAGGGGCGGTGGAGAATTTCCGCTCCCCCACTCCCACCGCGGCCCCGGAGGCAGCTGTCACCTGTAAGGCGAGCACCGCGCGTGGGGGATGGAGTCCGGCGCCCATTGGACAGGCTGTAAAGGCAGACACCTACCCCGAAGACTGGGGACCCCGCGGGGCGGGGACGGGGGCAGCGCGCCGCGGCCCCCGGCTCCTTTCTCCAGGAGACTGCCGGGCCCCGCTGCGCTGGCATGACCGAGGTCCAGCTTCGAGGACACGCCCGCCACGCCTCGGTGAAAAAGATCAGGTGAGCCTGGTCGAGGCGGACTTGACTCCCGGAACCCCGGGTCCCTCCTCCGGCGGCGCCGCGACGTCCACCTTGCCTAGCAACCGGGAACCGCGGAGTTGGTGGGAGCGGGCGGCCTGGCTCCCCCCTTGCGGGGCGATAAGTGACTATGGCGCTGGCCGCGGCCGCGGCCGCGGCGGCCGCCGGGGTGAGCCAGGCGGCGGTGCTGGGCTTCCTGCAGGAGAACGGAGGGAAGGTGCGCAACTCGGAGCTGCTGAGCCGCTTCAAACCGCTGCTGGAGGCCGGCGACCCACGCGGCCGCGCCGCCCGCAGGGACCGCTTCAAGCAGTTTGTCAACGACGTGGCCGTGGTGAAGGAGCTTGACGGCGTCAAATTCGTGGTGCTGAGGAAGAAGTCGCGGTCCCGCGACGGACCCGAGCCCCCGCCCTGCTGCTTCCAGAGCGCCCGGGAGGCACCAGCCCCGCCGTCGAAGGTCACTTCTGTATCACAGGAGGAAACCGCGGCCTCGGGGGCTCCGTCCTCGTCCTCGGCACCGAGGGCGGCGGAACCGGCTGAGGATCCGGCCCCGCCATCAGAGCCGCAGGACACCACCGGGACTCCGGCCTCAGAGCCCACTCAGGGGCTGTTGTTAGACTCGGCCTGGCAGTTAGGGGTGCCCTCGGACCCCCAGATTCCAGCTTTTGAGTTGGCCCAGCCCGCTGAGGGTCTCTCTGAAGATGTGGCCCCACCGTCCACGGCGCCGTCAGAGGCACCCTCGCCCCGAGTAGAACCGCCACACCCAGAAGCTGCGCCTCGGGGGCCACCACCACCCGCTCCGCGCCCGCCGCCTCAGAAGCCCTGCATGCTGCCTGTGCGCTGCGTCCCCGGCCCCTCGGCGCTGCGGATCCGGGTTGAGGAGCAGGGCCTGCGCAGGCAGCTGTCGGAGGAGCCCAGCCCGCGGAGCTCCCCGATGCTGCTGCGGCGGCTCTCGGTTGAGGAGGCCGGCCTGGGCCTCGGTCTGGGCTCTGGCCGCTCCCCTCACCTGAGGCGCCTGTCGCGCGCCGGCCCGCGCCTGCTGAGCCCCGACACCGAGGAGGCTCCGGCTGCCCCGCCGCCGTCCGCCGTGCCCCTGGAGCCGGCCGAACACGAGTGGCTAGTGCGGGTGGCTGGGGGCCGCTGGACCCACCAGCTGCACGGGCTGCTGCTGCGCGACCTCGGCCTGGCAGCCAAACGCGACTTCATGTCTGGTTTCACGGCCCTGCACTGGGCCGCTAAGAGCGGCGACCTCGAGATGGTGCAGCAGCTGGTGGAGGTCGCGCGGCGTGGGGGCGCACGGGTCGACGTCAACGCGCGCTCGCACGGCGGCTACACGCCGCTGCACTTGGCGGCGCTGCACGGCCACGAGGATGCGGCCGTGCTCTTGGTAGTCCGCCTGGGTGCGCAGGTGCACGTGCGCGACCACAGCGGACGGCGCGCTTACCAGTACCTGCAGTCCGGCGCCTCGTATGCTCTGCGTCGCCTACTTGGCGACCCTGGACTGCGAGGTTCGACCGAAACTGACGGGGCTGCTGGTGGTAGTGGCTGTTTTGCGGCCCGGCGCCCCGTGCAGGTGGCGGCCACCATCCTCAGTTCCACCACTAGCGCGTTTCTGGGCGTCCTGGCTGATGACCTGATGCTCCAGGATCTGGCTCGAGGCATGAGGAAGTCAAGCTCCTTAAGCAAATTCTTGGGAGCCTCGCCCATGGCTCCTCGTAAAAAGACTAAGATCCGCGGCAGTCTGCCAGCCTTTTCAGAAATCTCTCGTCGACCCACTCCGGGGCCCTTGGCTGGTCTAGTGCCCAGCCTACCCCCAGCAACCTGACGGTTCCCAAGGTTACGACTTAGTCTCTCTAATCGGCCCTCCCTCTCACAGTCAAAGCCTGCCCAAGACCATGGCCAACACTTTTGGCTCCATCGTGTCTCCAGCTTTGTCCACTGCAGCCTGTTTTACCCAAGCGGGCCTTTGCCTCCAACTTCTTCATCTTTCTCCAGAGATGAGGTTCAAGATCTCCGTGAGAGCCTCCTATGAAGAACTCTGGAAATCAGGCTTGAACCTTGGAGGAGATTTGCAATTTAGGATCAAAGGTTCAGGGGCAGCAGCTGGTCTGGCCCCTGAATGATTTAACCCAATGCCTCTGCATCTGTATACTTCCAAAGCAGAATTACAGCTTTGTGTGATGATAGATTATTTGTCAGCTTTTAAGCTATGCAGTGCATTTGTAATTTGATGCTTTTATCCTGTTTTTAAGTTGAAGTGAGGTAAAACAACTTTCATAAAATAACCTCTTGAAATTATATTTTTCCAAAATGCTCAGACATTTTCAATTTTTTGCTAAATATTTTGGAATTCTATTAAAAAAAAAAAAACGATTAAGATCTAAAGGAATTAAGTCCCAACCAACAAAACCCTTGAATGGTTATCTACCTCATTTTAAGCAATCAAGATGTCAGACAGTCTTGAACACAGAAAGTGACCATTGTGAATGTAATTAATTAAAGTTATACTGTGAATGCTAAATATTAGAAAACAAGTGCATCTTGGGAGTAAAAGTGATTTAACAATGAGAGAAAAGAGACATTTTTGGCAAATACTTTGAATTTGTGGTTGTCTTTTTTTTCCCCCCTTTGAGACCAGCTCTGGGTTATTTATTTGTTTATTTTTAAATTGAAGAAGAAACAAAGGTACAGAGCAATTAAGTAACTCTGTCCAAAGTGTTAGTTGCTCAATCATGTCCGACTCTTTGCGACCCCACGGACTGTAGCCCACTATGCTCCTCTGTCCATGGAATTCTCCAGGCAAGAATACTGAAGTGGGTTGCCGTGCCCTTCTGCTGTGGTTGTCTTTATGGTGAAATATAAACATGTATCTTTGGCAGTGGTCGCTGGCTCCTTTGATATGGCATGAATATTTAACTTTTAATAATTTGATTTATTTGTGAATTGCACCATTGTGCCATGTTTCTGAATCTGTGGCTTTCAAATCTGGCTGAGCCTTTCACTGCAGTAGGTGAATATTCAAAGACAAAAAATGTCATAGCCTAACACCAGGAAAATAACTGGTTAAATAGTAACAGATACAATTAAGGAGCAACTATTTTATACGAAAGTTCTATACAAGCAAAACTTATGTGATAGCCATTTTAAAAAGCCATCTGAAAGCAAACAACTTATTCCAAAATAGCAAATGCAAAGTCTCCTTGCTCAGCGACTTTATAGAGGGGTAGCTTAATTCACCTGTATCTTTGCTCCTATTTATAATTGAGAAGGTTTTAAGTATTGCCAGGATTTCTCAGGTTCAACCCAGCATAATTGTAATGGCTCTTTTCCCATTTTAAAGATATGGAGTCTATTTGCTCAACCAATTTAAAAAAAAATATCATATTGTAATAATGCTCTGCTTTTGCAAATTGGGTTTGCATGTGATTAGTTATACCAAATAGTTTTTGTGGCCAGGGTAGTGGGGCTCCCCTCCCATATATGTATCAGTGAGGCCTCTGAAATTATTTAAGGCAGTCCTTCCTGGAATGTTTTGATTTAAACAATGAAATAAACATTTTCCCATTTTGTTCCTGCTTGTGTGATGCTGTACTTCCCTTAAACATTCTATAGGACTTGCTACGGTATTTGCCTTTCATTACTTTTATCCCCATCTTTTTGCTTCTTTCAAGCATTTTACTACTGAAAGAATTTGGATTTCTCTGCAAAGTAAAGGAATCAGCCAAACATGGATATGATAGCCAAAAACTGTAGGTAAATGTAGGCCCTGATCCGGCCTCTCCCATCTTCCTTGCCTGGAACTCTAGCTAAGCTTCATAAATTATTTCAAAATGTACATCAAATCGTCTGCCTCTGTGAAAAAATAAATGACGAGAGGCAATAATTAAAGCAATGTGAGGAGCTGAAGATATAAAAATATTAGAAATTTTTCATAATGAAAGAGAAACTTGACTGAAGGTAACAAAGTTCACACACACAGGTATGACTGGCTTTGAGAAAGACAAAATGTAAACCAGCATATTAGCGATAACAATAATTAATGTTTATGGCACATTTAAATCAGAAGAAGATTCTTAAACTGTGGAAAAATCTTTGTGTTTCACAAGGGTGTGCTGCAAACCTTCCAAGTGAAGTAAAAATATTTGGCAAGAGTTTAGGGTCAATAAGCCTAACGTGCAGGTGTAAGAAACCACTGCTTTTCCCTTGCAGGCTAAGACCATCTGAAAGTATAAGGGAAGTTAGTAGGAAATTACAGTTTAATATGCATATGGGAAGTTTTCAAGAAGAATAACTGGTTAACAGGAGGCATACCTATGGAAGGGTATTTCCAACAACCGACCCCCCCCCCAATTAGTTGTTCATCAATTAAGGCAATTTATCTGGTTAAAATTATCACAGGGAACAGAATCACTCCTCTTAATGGGGAAAGAGTTAATTGCTGATGTAGATGTGTATGACTCATATCCACAGCAAGCTTCTTAATACAGTTGTACATTTCCTCTCAGGAGGATGGAGGCTGTTCTTGCGTATGTGTTACGTACCTAATGGAGACCAGGGTATGTTGTTGTTGTTCAGTTACTCAGTCTTGTCCGACTCTTTGGGACCCCGTGGACTGCAGCAAGCCAGGCTTCCCTGTTCTTCACAATCTCCCAGAGTTTACTAAAACTCATGTACATTGAGTTGGTGATGCCATCCAACCATCTCATCCTCTGTGGTCCCCTTCTCCTCCTGCCTTTAATCTTTCCCAACATCATGGTCTTTTCGAGTGGGTCAGTTCACCCCAAAGTATTGGAGCTTCAGCTTCAGCATCAATCCTTCTAGTGAATATTCAGGGTTGATTTCCTTTAGGAATGACTGGCTTGATCTCCTCGTGGTAAAAGGGACTGTCAAGAGTCTATCACCACAGTTCAAAGGCATCAATTCTTTGGCACTCAACCTTTTTATGGTTCAGCTCTCACATCCATATATGACTACTGGAAAAACCATAGCTTTGACTAGACATATTTTGTAGGCAAAGTAATGGCTCTGCTTTTTAATATGCTGTCACATTTAACAGCTTTTTAATATGCTGTCACATTTAACAGCATTTTAATATGCTGTCTAGGTTTGTCATAGTTTTTCTTCCAAGAAGCAAGCATCTTTTAATTTCATGGCTGCAGTCACCATCCACAGTGATTTTGGAGCCCAAGAAAATAAACTCTATCATGTTTCCACTGTTTTCCCATCTATTTGCCATGAAGTGATGGGACCAGATGCTACCATCTTAGTTTTTTGAATGTTGAGTTTTAAGATGGCTTTTTCACTCTCCTTTTTCATCTTCATCAAGAAGCTTTTTAGTTCCTCCTCACTTTCTGCCATACGGGTGGTTTCATCTGCATATCTGAGGTTACTGATATTTCTCCCCGCAATCTTGATTCCAGTTTGTGCTTCATCCAGCCCAGCATTTTGCATGATGTACTCTGCATAAGTTAAATAAACAGGGTGACAGTATACAGCCTTGACGTACTCCTTTCCAAATTTTGACCAGGCTATGGGGAATGCATATATAACCTGTGTTTACTAAGTGCTAAGCACGGTTCTTACAGGTATTCTTGCAGGTATTCACCACCACCTTACAATGTATGTACTGTTAGTATCTTGATTTTTAAAGTGAGGAAGCCTAGAGAAACTGTAAGTAACCTGTATGGGCCTCAAGCTAGTAACTGTCATGGTCAGGATGGCATCCTGGTGCTCTTTCCCAGTAAAGCATCCTGTGGTCTCATCTCAGCTCTTTATTCATTTAGTGACCTTAAGCAAGTCACCTAGTTCTCCAAGCTCCATCTTTCTCTCTGTGGAATTGGCAGTACTTATCCTACAGGCTGTGGGGAGGGAGGAGCACATGGAATGAGTAGGTAGAGTTGTCTGTGAACTGCAACACCATCCTGAAATATTACTAGAAGTGCCAAGTTGGTCCCAAAGGGATATCTGGATGCATTCCAAAACCAAATAGCTCTGATTTGTGGTGTTGCTCTACCTGATCACCATTCTTTTACCATGTTAGTACCTGTATATATAAACAACAACACTGACACTACTAGGAAAAACATATTCCCACAAAAGGAAAACTATCCTATATTCCGTAAGTGATATCACATTATTTCAAATATCACAATGCCTTTTATTTGTTTACTTTTGGCTGTACAGGATTTTCGTCGCTGTGTGTCAGCTTTCTCTAGTTGTGGCGAGCGGGCTTCTCACTGTGATGGCTTCTCTTGTTGCAGAGCACAGGCTCTAGGCTCATGCCGATTCAGTAGTGGTGGCACACAGGCTTAGCTTCCCAGTGGCATGTGAAATCTTTTCTGGTCAGGGATCTAACCCTTGTCTCCTGCATTGGCAGATGGGTTCTTTTTTTTTTCCTTTAATTTATTAATTTATTCTTAGCTTGCTGGGTCTTCATTGCTGCAAGTGGGCTTTCTCTAGTTGGGTTGAGTGGAGACTACTCTCCAGTTGCAGAGCTCAGGCTTCTCTTGTTACCGAGCACAGGCTCTAGGCTCACATGGGCTCAGTAGTTGTGGCACAGGGGCTTGATTGCTCTGAGGTGTATGGAATCTTCCCTCACCAGGGATTGAACCAATGTCCCCTTCGTTGGCAGGCAAGATTCTTAACTACTGGACCATCAGGGAAGTCTCCACAATGCCTTTCTTACCCCACATACCTCTAGAATCCCCAGCCTCACCTTCCAGTCCTAAACAAGCAGTCATTCAGCCTTCTGGATTGAAAGCACCCCTCTGCACATTTTAAGGCTGGGCCTACTCAGGACCTATATTCTTCCCCTTATCCTGGAATAAATTATCTGACCTTTTAAAATGGTTTAATAAGTAGACTGTCACTCTCCAGGTAGCTTGTTGCCTTGAACCTCTATGGCTGGCTTCACACTTCCAGAACTGCCCCATCTCTGGACTTGAACCTGTGGAGCAGAGGTGGCCTCAGATATTACTGCAGGGAAGTGGAAAGAAGGGCCAGATAGTGAGAGAGGGAGTGGGAGGAAAAGAGGTGGGGAGGGAGTGATTGAAAGATCTCTGGACCTCTCCTCCAGAAGGGGAAAAAAGTTCTACTGAGAACTTAGTGCTGACTTCAATTTCAAAGACAGCAGGTAAACACCCATGGTGATTTTCTAAACTGCAGCTAGGCCGTGAAAGTAACGTTATGGGTTCGTTGGGAGGATTGATTTACAGCATTTGCCTGAGTCCCGCCCCCGCATTCCCCCTTTCATCTCTTCTCTGCGGTGGTCCTCAGCCGCATTTGACCTAAATGTCCTCTGAAAGCTTCTGAATTACTCGTGACTGAACAGCGAGGTAGTTTTGTTCCCCTGAGGATTTCTGAGGTTCACTCCAGCCGCTTGCTGAGGTAGGTGGTGTGCGGAGCAGACTGTTCCAGCCAGATTGAGCGCCGGCTTGGGGCGCCGCGGAACATTGCTTCCCTACTCAGTTTCCAATTTACAGTCAGAAGGTAGAAAGTACACTAATTAAATCCATATTAGGAGGCACCGCGGGGGCGGGATGAGGCGAGTGGGAGATGAGGCATCGCGGCTGCCTGTTGCCCAGCAACAAGGGCATCCGCTAAGCTGTGGGGCGCAGCGCCTCAGGCCGCCGGGCTGGGGGTGGTGGGACTGGCAGGATGGGGCGCAGCAGCTTGGGGAGGTGCGGACAGAAACCCCAGCAGAGACCCAAGGGACCCTCTTTTCCATCGTGGGGAACTAAGTAAGGCTCTTTTGGATATTGATCCTCAAGATCAACCCCACCCCCCACCCCCAGCTTTCCCCTCCCCACTCCTCATTAACCAACAAATGTTGAAGGACGTGGCAAAGTAAAGCGAGCCAACCTTCTCACAGCCGGCTGGCTAGAATTTCCTTCCGACAGAAGCAAAGGGTTAGCCCACCCCACCCCACTCCTACCCCCGCCTTCAGGCCCCACAGGGACACTGCTCAGGACAAGGCAGCGACCCTGGGTCTAGCCCGCAAGGCCTGGTAGCTGGCGAGGTGGTGAAGTGTCCTATAAAGAGCAGCGCCCTCTGCTGGCAGCGTCCAGGAGGGTGGAATTCACCCGGCTTCTCTTATTCAATTCACTGCCTCCCTCCACCCCCAAGTCTTAGCCTGTGGTGCCAATATCCAACACCTATGCTGAGCTTCTTGTCCTCTGAAGGAACACCGGGGTGTGGAAGAAAGATAAACTGGGGCAGGAAGGAGAAGGAGACAAATGGAAAGACCTGCTCAGTTGGGGTCCCACTTTGGTGGGCGCTCTCGATCTGGTAGAGACAAGTACAGCAGCCTCCTATTGCCCCATGGGAAAAACCAGCCAAGAACCAAAGTGCAGTTTAACCGGACAAGGGCAGACGTTGTTTCCCATGTCCATTCAGGGCTGGGAGTGTTTTGTCTGAAATACACAATTTCCACTGGCCTAATGGACGAAGTTAAGTGTATTTCTAAGAATATCACAACGCGTGCTGAGTCGCGTCCACTCTGCGACTCCATGGACTGTAGCCGCCAAGCTCCTCTGTCCATAGGATTTTTCAGGCAAGAATACTGGAGTGGGAAGAATATCACAATAGGAGAAAGCAATGAGCACTGTACAGGGCAGGCAGAAATAAGTAGATCCCTCCAGAAGGCATCTGGCAGCAAGCTGCCCGGCGGGGCAGAGGACCTTGGAGCGGAGGCCCCGCCCACAGCGTTCAAAGAGGGGAAGCAAAGCAGAATGTTAGAACCCGCAACCGCCTCAGCAGGAGCCCCATATGTTTTTTATAAGAAGGCACAATGTGAGCATTGTTCTGTGCTCAATAGCGCGACTGTTATAACTAATGCTTTTAGTATGAATACGACCATTTAAAATTCCCAACCAGTTGCACTAAGTGACAATATGCATCAGAAAACGAGCTCAGAAGCAGAGATTTCTCACTAAGAGGTCAGCTGACTTTAGATACCATTATTATTAAGGTGCCCAGCTTCCAAAAACACACTCAGTATTTGCATGAACAGTGTTCTGGTCCCCAGCCTTTGCAGCTCCAAATACTAAGGCAGATTTTCACATGTATATTGGAGAATATTGATTCTGTGCACACAGGGATGATATGCAGAGGGTGTGTGTGTCATTTGTTTCATTTCACTCTAGCCCTTATTCCCCTACTCCCAGCTCCAGCCCAACCCCAAATTGGCATCTCCAGGACATAAGCCCCTCAGCACAATAGGTCTCCATATGCCCCATGACTCATCCCCATTCAGCTCCCATCCTCCCAACTGCCCTCCTCAAGCCTGGTTGATCCCATAGGGGCTTCTAAAGGAGAGGTGAATGAATTTCCCCAAATGTCCAAGTGTATTTGACACTCATCAGGGTTTTTAGGCAAAGCATCTGAATCCATTTTCCATTTGGGGAAGTTCCCTGTGCCTTGAATCTTGAAGCGAGGCAGTCCTACCCACTTCCACTATACCACTGAGGTTAGGGGCTTGGGTAAAAACCAGCAAAAGAGACCTGAACTCAGCCAATCAGGTCTAGAGTTTTGTGGTAAAAATGCAGTCACCAGAAGAGTTAGGGGCTACTGGTGACAGCATCTGCCTGGCCCCTCTTGTTTTCAAGCCTGTTTCTTTCAGTCTTCCTAGGAATCCCCAGACCTGACTGATGTCCTCTGACAAATAGCCATTCTGCTCTAGTCAGGGAGGTGTTTGAAATTTGCAAACCCTGCCTCCAAGCCAGACTCCGGGTATTACTTCATCAATTTTTATATTGAGAGGGAAAAGAAATGGCCATTTTGAATCTTAAGTTGAAGTGCTTCTCTGACTTGTCTCATCTCCCTCCAACCAACCCTTACTGAAACTCTTTCTCATCACAGAAGGAGAGAATAGTGCAGATTTAAAATTTCTCAGTTAACTACCAGATAATCCACCAAGACTTGGGAAAGACCACATGAGAACACTTGAAAGAAGTACCCCGGCAAAGCCGGGCCTGGGTCTTCCCCACCCCAAGGGAAAAGCACCGAATAAACCAGCGTGATCCGGAATCATGTGGGTGAGAAGCAAGGGCAATGCTCCCCACCCTCACCACCTGTAACTAGATGAGGGGAGGGGGGAAGGGCGGTTTATCCGGAGGATGGGTCCCTGAGGGGAAGGCCGGCCTGGGAGGCGAGGGATGACGGCCAAGGTCGTTCCTGACTGCGTCCAGTTGGTCCTGAATAAGGCGGACCCGCTCGTCCAAGCTGCGCTGCTGGGCCAGGACGGCGGCCTTGCCGGCCAACAGGGTGCGGTAGGCTCTCAGCTCCTCTGCGGGCAGTGCGCGCGCCAGCAGCTCGCGTAGGGCCCGCTCCCGCCGCGCCACGTGCTGCTTCAGCTCCCTAGCATCTTCCTCCTGCCGCTGCAGGAGCCCCAGTCGCTGCAGCAGAGAGGCCTGGAGATGCAGGGCGGGGGCGCTGTGAGCCAGGCCCGATGCAGGCCCCTCACCGCCCTTCCCGTCTCCCCGCCATCTTCAGCCCTAACCATTACCTGCTCTTCAGGGTCGCTGTCGGCACCCACCCGGGCTAGGGCGCGGTGCACGCGGGCCAGGCGACTGCCCAGCAACAGCAGGAGGCCAAGCACGCGCTCTAGGTCGGCCATGAACCGGCTGAACCGCTCCAGCTCGTGGGGTGCACAGGCCTGGCCGACGGCGGCCTCCAGAGCAGCTCCGCGCCTGGCCCAAGCCTGGGCCGCTCCCTGCAGCTGCTTCTGCTCGGCCTGAAGGTCCCTTAGCATCTTTTGGAGGAGGTCCGCCAGCTCTGCCTGCCGGGAGTGCGTAGGCACTTAAGTCTGGAGCCAGGCCCCTGACTCCTCGGACCAGACTCGGTTCTGGCCCCACTCAGCCACCAATGGCCCCTTCCACACTCACTTTCTTGGCTTGGATGCTGTTATTTGGCTTTGGAGTGCCCTGGTCACATGGTTGGTCAGGCACAACGTGGGTGGTAAGGTTTTCAGGCCTTGTCTCCTCCTGAGAAGTTGGCAGGTGCTGGGTGGAGTTAAGTAGATAGGACCTGGGGACAAAACCAGAGCTCCTTGGGTTGTCCTGCCCTAGAGAGCAGGGTCTTAAAGTCGTCTGAGTCCCTGATGCCCCTCACTCACCCTGGCTCAGAATTACCAGCAGCCTCCTCTCCAGCCTCCCTACAGCCTTGTCTCATTGCAGCCCAGACCTCAGCTAACGGAATCAGTCCATCTAGCAGACCCAGGGATGGCTCTGGGCTGGGATAGGAGGGGAAAGTGTCACTCTGAGAGGGATCCAATCTGGCCAGCTCCTGAACCAGCTCCTCGAGGCGTGGACTGGGCCATGTTGACCTGGGACCAGGCTCCCCAGAGCCCCAAGCTAGGGCACTGTGGTCAGGGGGCCTTGGGGTATCATTGTCTGGAGGTCCCAGGGTATCACCTGGGAAAGGTTTGAGGTCAGTCTCTGCAGCTGTGGGGGAAACAGTCGTCAGCAGTCCAGTGGGGTCAAATGTAAGGATGTCACCATTTGCAGTCTCAGGGGGGCTACAGCATGTAGGCCTGGAAACATTCACAGAACCGTTTAACCCGTGCCAACACTCATCCACCCCTGCAGTTTCTGGGTCCTCATGGAGGGGCTGCTCTGGGGGGATTATAACTTGGTCAGTCCTTTGGCTCAAGCCAGCTCCGTACTCCTGGTCAGAGACATGGACACTGAAAGTGGAAGAGACACTAAATCAGAAAAAGCTCTGGACAAGGGCCCCCCCTCCCCTCTGCCAACCACTCCCCCCCCAAAAAACCCCAGACCCCAGCCTTCAGTCAAGAGAGAGTTCCCTGCCTCTCCAGCATTTTATAGATGTGTGTAGGAAAGGTATATCTCACTCTGCTTGAAAGTCTGAGGGAACTTACCAGGTTGGGAGCCCCAGGAGAGTCTGGGAGTCTGCAGGTGATCTTGCTCTGACCAGGGGGGCTTCTTCCAGGAAAACTTCATCATTAGGAAGGGATGGGAGCCGAGCAGACACAATGCAGTTCTCTGAGCCCCTCTGCTCACAGTCAGAGGGACCGCTCTGGGGGCCCTCTGCAGGACACACTTCTGCAGCTTCCTTCTGATTCAGGAACCTGGAGGCAAGGACCCCACACTAACCACAGTGACCAGGAAGATTCTGGTTCTGTACCATAGACACAGTGGGATGTTGGGGGTGGGACTAGGGGGTGCTGTTTGCACTCTGCCTTGAGACATAAGGCTCAAACTGAGGGTGGGTGGAGGCCTTCTTTCTTGAGCAAGAGCCATGAAAGCTGCCTCCCCCCACTTTCAGTTCGCAGAGTGGTCCATGTCTCTCACCTGTTAAGTTTGGTTGGCAACGGTGGTCTGGGGGTTTCTGCTCCTTGGGGAACAGCCTGGAAAAGGCAAGCAGTTGGGTGAAATGTTGCTCAAGTTTTCAGTCCTCTGGGCTCCCCCACCCCAAGGTGGCAGCCCCTATCTTCCATACCTGGGCAATGGGCATGACACCTTCTGGACTTCTCCAGGGCGCCAAGACTTCCCCGGAAGCGCTCCGACTCCGACTGCCGGCAGGCCTGTAGGCATTGCCAAACTTCAAGGGCGGGGGTTTCGGGTCCTCTATGCTTGGGGGCTGGGTCGCAGGCCGCCATCTGATCTGGTGACCTTCGAACTCAGCCAGCGTCCTCTGCTGCCATTCCCGAGGCTCCGGCCTAATGAAGCCAGAGCTGGAGCAGACCTCTCCCGAGCACTGCCTCGCCAACCCAGCGCCCCTACCCAGGCTATCCCGTTTCCCTGGCTCTGAGAAGCACCACTTCCGCTGCTGGGTGGGAGCCCCCGAGCGCGCCGGCTCTACTTGCCCGCCGGGGTGGCTGAGTGAGGCGGAGCGCGGGTGCTCGGCCGAGGGCCGCGCGGGGGTCGCGGGCCGCAGGCGGGAGGGCAGGCTCATGCGGAGCTCCTTGCGCTGGAAGGACGTCTCCCGGAGCACTCGCCGCTGCGCGCCCTGCAGCCGCTGGCGGTAGGCGGCCCGCGAGGCGGGCGGGCTGGGCGGCTCGGCGGTCCGCGCCGCGGCCTCGGCCTCGGCCGCCAGCGCGTACAGCAGCGGGGTGGTCTGGCGGCTGAGCGGTCCCGGGGTCCCCTTTTCGGGGGGACGAGGCCCACTGCGTGCGGCGGCCGCGGGCCGGGGCTGTGGGGAAGTGCGAAGCCCGGCGGCGGGGGCCGGGCCGCCCCACACCATACGCACGTAGTCCCAGTCTAGGTAGGGAAGTTCCTGGGTCCCTGGCGAAGGCTCTGGAGGCTCAGGACCGCCTGAGGCGGCGGAGAGAGAGCTGTAGGCCAAATCGGTGGGCGCAGACAACCGCCGCGAGTCAAGGCTGCGAGTGGATGAGGCCGGGGAGGTGCAGTCACCTCCGGGACCCAGGGCTTCCATGGCTGCTCGGACGAGGGCGGAGGCTGGCCAGCTCTGTGAGGCCTGGAAAAGCATGGGCGGCGTGGTAGGTGAGGCGCTCCGGGTATGGGTTTAGGACAGCCTGCTAGCCCCTCCAACACGACATGCTTACACATCGCCTCCTTGGCCACGGGACCCATGGCCCTAACATCCCGCACCTCCCTCGTCTGGGATGGCAAAGGCAGGAGGACCAGGGGAGCACCTCTGGAGGTTGAGGGCCTTAGCTCAGGGGAAGGAAGTCCATTCCCTACTGGGGCTCTTCTGGCCCAGCCTCTACCCTGGCACCTCCTGGAGCTCTGAGAACATACCCATGCTCCTTCCCTCCCCAACCCTGTCCCGCCCTGGCCGCTTCCTGGCTGCTTTGTTAACTTCTCCGGGTGATCCTTCCCTCATAAACAACAGTCAGCAACAATCTGAGATCAGAGGGGAGCCAAGAAAGGAGGGGAGGAAAGACCCAGGTCAGGTGGCAGGGGCAGCTTCACAGTCTTCCTCTGGGCCAGTCATGTTCCAGGTGCTCTGAACAAATATTTATCTTGAACCTCACAACTGTTGCCTGCGTTTTACAGATGAGGACAGTGAGGTTCTGAACCAGGGAATGATTTGCCGAGAGGCACAGAGCTAGTAACACGCAGAGCCCTGCCTGGAATCTGGGCTTGCCTCCAAGCTTACTGAAGCCAGAATCAATTTCCTAGAAGCAAACTCTGCTGAAAGCCAGTTTACCCCCACCCCTGCAACAAAGCTCAGACTGCTCTGTGGGAAACAATCCCCCCCCCGCCCCCCTTCAAATTACTGTCAGATCCCAGGATAATATGTTCCCTGCTTGGGAGACTCTGCCTTTTGTCTAGGAGTGACAGGCTCACCCCGTCTTTGTGCCACTCTTGCTTCTCCTATAGGGCTCAGCTTAGAGGTTTCCTGGCCCTTTGGGATCCCTCTAGTGTCCTAGCTTCCCCATCACAGCACTCAACACCCTGCATGGTGATTGTTGGTTTGCCTGTGATTCCCTCTCCCCATTCCCACCCATGAACTTCCTGAGGACAGGCCCTGCACTGACTCATCTCTGTGCCCTCAGTGTTTGGCATGTCGTTGATGTGAAGTATTTGTTGAATGACAAGGAAAGGAGCAGCATTGCAGGAACTAGATGGTGGCGGGGGGGGGGGGGGTGGCTTTGGTGGAGAAGGCTGAGGGCTTCTTTGCTTCCACCTACTCTTCTCTCCCTATTAATCTTTTTGAAGAAGGGGACAGAATGGGTGAGACAGTTGCCACTCATGGACACTGACCAGGTTACTCAGGTTATTAAGAACCGAAAGAGAGGCAAGCATAGCTTGGAACAGGAATGGCCAGAAATCAATACCTTCCCAGTGCCAGGAGGGGGAGCAAGGGGAGGAGCTGGGGGAGTGTACCTGGATCAGGGGTGAAAGTAGCTTTGAGTCTTGGGAACTAAGAATTTAGTGTGGGCGATAGGGACTTTTGTGTGTTGGGGGTGGATGGTGGGGAGAAAGCAGGTTTGCCTTCCCTGAGCTGCTTGGTTGGGACTGCAGAGAAGGGTGGCCCATAGCTGGGTGGAAACTGAAAAAACAGACTTTGGTGAGCCTCCTAGACACATTTTGGAGCTCAGGATCACCCTCTACCCCATTCCCTGAGACCCCAGATTCTATAGATTGCTGGCTAGGGCAGGTAGAGAGGTTAGTGGTGGGAGGATACGGTGTTTCCTTAAAGGGAGAATCAGTACTTCCAACATTCCCAGGAGGAGCTCTCAGCTGATCTGGTACCAGAACATCTTGACATCACCCACCTGGAGGCATCACTGTGCATACTAAAGCCAGCCCTGAAGACTGGTCCTCACACTCAGGCTTGGGGACCACTTTTGCAAAGTAGTTTATACTCTCTGTATTTCAGAAAGAAAAGAAGCTACTCTGAGTAGCAGCCCCTGGGAAGACTCACCTCCTCTAGGGAACCCCTCCAGCCACCCAGACACTGGCCCCTTCTCCTGCTATCCTTCTGAGCCCAACTTGGGAGCACTGTTTATCCTGGCTCATGCCACCCAGGCCTACCCATGTTGACCTTCACTGCATCTATAGGCATGGGTAACTGTTCAAATATAAAGATGTTTCCTTAAAAAAGGCCTTGAAAGTTCTTATTTGTGAGTTACTGAATGACAGAGGGTTCTGAGTTCGCCCAATAAAAACAGCTCAAATGGCTAATAAAAATGTCTGTATATTTTCTTATTGATCTTAACTTGTGTTGAGAATGCTTTTTTCAGTGGTAACCTGAGCACCCGATACCCATGCAAGATAGGCTAGGAAAGTCCATCTCCTTTAGTGTGTTTTGGGGCCTCAGACCAAAGAGCAGAGAGTTTTTGTCTGGCTGCAGGGAGCCTCTTGCAGTCCAGCCAGCCCCTGTGGCTGGGAGTGGCCACACCCCAGGAGCCCTAGCATCAGCACTAATGTCAGCTGTGGGCTGGGCCGCAGAGCCAATGCCTGCATTGAATGTAAGTCAGAACTAAAGCTTTCTCAAGCCCCATCAGCCCAGGGGGAGCAGTATGGAATCCCTGCTGGAAAACTGCTAGATTAGTTAGGGTCATATGGTATTGGCATCATTTGCAATAAACATCACCTGAATCAAAGATCAAGAGAGGAAAAGGAGACAAGGATGACTTCAATGTTCAGAACTAGGAGCTGAGGAGGTGGAGGTGCCAGTGTCAGGAATGAGGAAGCTGAGATGCGGACTGGCCAAGGGTTCCAGGCTGGGTCTGGACTTTGCAGTGTTTGTGGCAAGTCTGATGAGCAGTTGGGTAGGTTGAGATGTTGGTCTGGACCTCAGCAGAGAGTTAGGACCAGGTAAGCAGCTGGTTTTTAGTTAGAGGTTCTTGGGGAAACCGATGAAGACTGCTTCCAGTGACTAAAGTCACACAAAGGCAACAGAAACAGATCCAGGTAAAGTGACCAGAAAGACAGACAACCTCAAATGATCAATAAGGATCAGGAATTAAATCATATATGGGATGGTCTTCCTCAGTGGTAGGCTCACTGTAGGGTGTTGTCTCCATGTCACCCAGACTGAGTTTCTGGGTCCTGGGCCTGTCTTGAATCCCAGCTCTCCAGACACGGTCTGGAAGAGCAGGCATTTGGGGGAAGTTCCATGGCTCTCCCAGCCCCCTCCGGCTCCCCGTTCTCCAAGCCTGTCCGCCCCACAACGCACCCTGCGAAGCATTCGCTCGCCACTGCTGCCGCCCACCCGCAGAGTCTCCATAGGCTCTAGCTCCGTGCCGCGGGCAGGAAACGAGGATGCTGGGGCACATGGGGAAAGGAGGCCGCGGTCGAGGTCGGACCACATACCTGGGGCTTCAAGCTGAGTTGAGGTGCGTCAGGGAGGCAAGATGCACAGGTCTGGTGGCCACAGGGGGCGACAGTCAGGCGGTGCGGCAGGAGAGCGACGCCTCGCGGACACTGGCAGAGTGGATGGCCCCCGGCCGGCGCATTTCTCGGTCTTTCCTTTGGGGTTCACCGTCGGGGAAGGAGGGCTCAAAACTCGCTCAGGGGACCACGCGGTCCTGGACGCGGGAGAGAGGGGCGGTGGAGGGGGGGCGGGCTGGATTCCCTAGCGGCTCCGCTACCGAAGGGCATGAGCCGGGGGTCGGGGAGTGGCTAGGGGGTGCGTTGAGACCCCCACTGCGTTTTCGCCAGCCCCCGGCGTGCTCCCCCAGCAGCTCCCGCCGCTACCGGTTCTGCGCCCACCACCGCTCTGCCGGAGGCGGGGACAGGGGCTCAGGAGCCCGACCCGACTCACGCAGACCAGAAGTGGTGTGGAGTCCAACACCTTCAGACCCAACGACGCACGGGCTGCTCCGCGGCGGCTCAGCCACTCCCACCTGCACTAGCCGCGGGGAACAGCGATTCCGCCGCCTGGCCCCCGGCCTCGCCGCGTACCTGAGCTCCAACCGAGACGCGCTCCTGGACTGCGGCCGCACGGTGACATCAGAGCCCCGGGCTCTGGCTCCCGACCCCACCTCCGGGCTCCAGCCACCGCGGGGGAGGCGCCAAATCCGACTCCCGGGGGCGGGAGCGCGGAGCGGCCGCGCTGCCCGGGCAGCCGACCGCCCCTTCCTAGTGTAGGCTTAGACCCCGGTCGGGGTTGGACGCTCGTTACCCCGCCGGGCACAGGCCTCTCGCTCCGGCTGGAGAAGCGGGAAAATAGGGGTAGGGCTCCCAGAGCGGTCGCCCGCCCGCCTCCATCCAATGTGTTCTTACGGCCTATGGTGCTCGGCTGGAGTCCCGCGGATTCAAACCATCCCATCAGTGGGGACGCCCAGGCCAGGTCCCAAGAACTCCAGACGGCCACCTCATTCCAGTTTGGCTAAGTAAACAGACGCACCACTGTCTCTGTCCAGCTCTGTGTACAGTTCGGATGCTAAAGCATCCTCCCTTGACCAACTCTCCCTGTAGAACTGCCATTTCCAGAACTCTTGCAGCTCTCTGATTCCTACTATGGGCTCTTTTCTCCCCTCTTTTCCCCTTTTCATTTCTCTCATATCTCGCATAGTCTGCCCCTCTGGCCGGCCACCTGAAAAGGGGGAAGGGAAGCTGGGGCGCTGCTGACTTGTGTATTCACTCCGGCTCTTCTCAGTGGTGCTCAGCATTTTAAGGTGCTGGACTATGCATGTCCCTTGTGGCCTGGATAGGGTTTACTCCAGCCATAGAATCTGGCTCTTTTCACTTTCGGGGATCTCAAGGCTCCAAAGAATGATCTGAATTCATCAGCCACTGTACAATGGTCACTGTTCTGTCCTCAGCCTTCCCTGCCCCCACTTTCCAAACTTGTATCCTATGAATACTGGCTCTACCAAGAAATGCTCCATCCCTGGAAGGGGCTGGAGGCCTTTTTGCTGAACCCAGTCAGTGCTTGGTCTTTCTGTTATTGTTGTGGCTTCCTTCACTGTCCCACAGAATCAGCATGCCTGGGGGGCAGAGACCATATCCCTATATCTTGGCATCCTTGGCTGACAAGGTTTGTTGGTGATAATAACCAGAAGCCGGAACTCAGACTGGGGGACAAGGCTACCACTTTCTAGGGGGAATAAGAGCCTGGGGAACTTGGTCTGCTTGGGTCTTCTAGGGGATGGAGGCAGCAGGCACCTGAGCCTGGCTTCTGATTGGGACACTCCTGGCACTGATTTTACTTCAAATGCTATTCTGATCCAGGCATCAGCAGGAGCCAGAGCTCTGGACTCAGACAATGGCTCAGAACTTCTTGGTTTTGAACACCTGCCCTTTTAGCACCAACTCTGATCCACATGGTTGGTCTCAGAGCTGTATCACAACAGAGGAAACAAAACCCAGCAACCAAAAGTCAGTTCAAAAATGTTCAAGATTTTAATTTTATGTGTGTGTGTGTGTGTGTGTGTGTGTATGTATGAAACTACAAGTCCCTGGTAGCTCAGACAGTAAAGAATCCGCCTGTAATGCAGGAGATGCAGGTGACACGGGTTTGATCCCTGGGTCAGGAAGATCCCCTGGAGGAGAAAATGGCAACCCACTCCAGTATTCTTGCCTGAGAAATCCCATGGACAGAGGAGCCTGGAGGGCTACAGTCCATATATTTTAAAATATATGTATATGTATATTTATTTTAAAATTTATTTTTATTTATTTATTTGGCTGCACCAAGTCTTAGTTGTGATCTTTGATCTTCATTGTGACATGGTGGATCTTTTTATTAATAGTTCCATCATGTGAGCTCTAATTCCCTAAGCAGGGATCAAACCCAGGCCCCCTGCATTGAGAGCATGGAGTCTTAACCACTGGGCCATCAGGGAAGTTCCTTAATTTATATTTAAAAAAGTGTATTTCTTGACAACTATGAAGTGGACACAGCATCCACAGTCATTCTTTTTTTTTTTTTTTCACAGTCATTCTTGATAATCCTCTCTCCTCCTCCTTATTTCTCTTGCATAGACAATAGAAACTCTCTGCCTAAATTCCCCAGAAGAAATCCCATCCACCCACTTCTCTGCTTGCCTCTTCTCCTCTTCTGTGAAAGAGAAAGCAGCCCCTGACATCTGGAAGTTGGCCTGGGACTATCAGGTAGACCTTGGTGTTATAGGAGTTGATCTGACAGTCATAGACAAGGCCATGGAATTCTCCTGTTGCACATAAACAATTTCATAGGACATCAACATCAGACAAGACCCTCTGTAACCATGATGGGTCAAGATAAAAACAAGACCATTCTGTAATCATATCTAAACACAGACAAACCATGAATATTGTCCAAGTCAAAAAAATGACCAAATGTCTTTCTGTCCTGGATGTGTAACTGCTGCTTCCTTACCGACTGTGGCTTTAGCTTTGCTTTAGTCATTCCTCTTTCTAATGAGATTTTAAGGGACCCAATCATAGAATTACTCTTGCTTCCTGAAGCATCAAACACTGAGAAAAGTCCTACTTCTTTAAGTCTCTCCAAAATCACTAAATACTTTAAGTCCTTTCTAATGCCCTCTTACCAAGATGCTTCATGGTTCCCCTCACTGTAACAACTAATACACTCCATTTTTTCAACTACAGGTGTGTCCCTCATGATCTTTGACTGGAGGCCATCTCTTTAGTGCAAAACCCCAAAAAGCCTTAGAGGAGAAGAAGGGGAAGAAACTGCAACCAACTTGGAGTCTCCTTCAGTGGCAGTGATTAGGGAGCGGGGGCCATGGAGAAGACGGACACACGCACATACTCAGCAGTTTCTCTCCTACATAAAAAGACATGCTTGTGCCCCTCAGAATCTCAGTACTTTTCCAGGCCTGGGAGAGTACATCTGACACCGTGTGAGTTAGCCAAGAACCACCCAACCTAGCCCTTCCTCAGTCACACAAGCAAAATAATTGTAAATGGGTAAGCCACTAAGCTGAGGGATACTCTGTTAAACAGTAATAGATAACTGTAACAGGGTATGTAAAATTTCAAATTTGGTTAATCTTCTCAAATTTCTTACAAAGAGGTTGTACCAATTTGTATCCCCATTAATGAGTGCCCATTTTCCCACATCCTCACTGACATAGTACATTATCAGACTTTTGATCTCTGAAACCTGAAAGGTGAAAATGTTTCAATTTTTTGTATATAAAATTGCATATCATTTTGTACATTTTAAGGCCACTCATATTCACTTCTGTGATCTGTCAATTTCCCTCACCCATGTTTCTATTGGATTATTGGTCTTTTTCTTACTGACTTACAAGATCTCTTTATATATCAAGGTAATTTACTTTTTTTTTTATGTGTGGCAAATATTTTCCCAAGTTTGTGTCTTCTGACTTTGTTTGTGGTGGGAGTGAATTTATAAACCATGGTTAAAAAAAAAAAAAAAAAACCATGGTTAAGGCAAAAAAAAAAAAGTTTCTTTCTTGTAGATAGCAACTACAGAGCTATTTTAATAATTCAGAGACTATCACATATTCGTTCAAAGACACTAAAGACCAGAAATCCTTCAATGAATTATGTTGTCTATTTCTGGAAATCCAACAAAGCATGAATCACTGTTTTAACACAAGTGTCTACTTAAATTTTAAGTGTTCCCTTAGAGCAAGTTTGTTTGCTTTTTAATTATGCACTGAATTTACCACACTTGTCCAAAGATAGGGCTTTATAGGAAGTCAACCACAAGAATGGAGCCCTCCCCGCCACCAATATGAGGGTGTCTGGCAGGAAGGCCTTTGGGCGAGGCTGGGTAGGGACTGGTTGTCCCAGCGATTGAATCAAAGTTTCCTTTCAGATCAGCAGTTCCTGGGAAAGAATGCTGGTCTGTCACATTCCTGTTGAGTACACGTATATCACCTTTTCCCTACAGACGCTGGGTGGCTCCTCAGCCTCTGCTTTGGCCATAATAACTCAGCTTTTGTTACCTCCTCTAGCCTGGTTTACAAACCCCAGACCTGGGACCATTCCATCCTCCTCGTCTGCGCTCATTGTCACCCACACATCCCTGGCCAAGAGAGATTAAAGGAGATGGCTGGATACAGGCCTCTCTCCTCTTCTACTGACTCCAGTGGACCCAAGACAGATAAGTGGTGGTCACAGGAACTTTTCGACTTTGCTTTGCTGGCCTCCCAGGATCTAGATGAAAACCTGTCTCTTACATATCACTTTGGTCCCCAAGAATAGAAATTAACTCAAGACTCTGAACCAGACCCCCAATAGCATCCCTAGGGAGTGCAAAAGCAGGCTCAGGTCCAGGAGTTGGCCCTGTGTTCAGGTCCTAACAAAGGGGTGAAATGGTCTACAAAGGCCCCTCTCCTAAAAGTACCTTCTAATTGAGCTAAATCCGCCAAGTCTCTGGCGTCATCAGAAGTCATCTGATAAGCATTTTCAATGAGAGGATGTTCCAACCCTAGAGCTTTGGGCCTCGGGCTACACACGGAAGCCTTGGTACAGGATTGGGTCACAGCATGCTGTGTGCACATATAATGGATTCTAGTCATTAGCTCTGGAAGCAGATAATGCATGTTCTTAACATTCACCAAGAAACTCTTTCTGATCTTAACTGATAGTGTCTGGTCAGTTACTCACATGGAAGAGATTTTGTTCTAAAACCTGAGGGTATGTATATCTGGCATCCATCATGGTACATGAGTTTTTGGGACCCTGCCAGGAGTGAATGTGACAGCACACACACACACACACACACACACACACACACACACACACAGAGTTTAGTTGGCAGCTTTCTGTACTCCAAGGGAAACATCAAGAGAAGTTTAAAAAAAGAAGACAACAAAATTCTCCAACATAGCTCCAATAAGTGGAACATTCTCTTAAACCCTGCCTGGTTTGTGTAGAGATGCAAGTGTCTACACTTATATTTAACTACTTCAGTGTGGGTGACAGCCTAGAAATCAGTTCTGCAGACACCCCAGCCACAAGGTCTTCCCACAAGATCATGCTGCCTGCTAGTCTTCTGTTGTGCTACAACAAACAAAAACAAAATACCACAATTAAAAAAAATAAATAAGGAGGACAGAGAGCTATCCTCCAATTCACTGTATCCTGGGCATACAAAAACCAGCAGTGAGAGAGCGAGCGTGAGTCCATAGCCTGGCAGACCTAAGTGAATGCCAGTCTGACCC